ACCCCAGCTCCAAGCCCAGCAGCGACCCCAGCTCCAACCCCAGCAGCAACCTCAGCTGCATTCCCGTCTGTACTTGGTGCTCGCCCCCATCCAATCTCAATAAATTCTACCTCACGCTTGTCTCAAGCCTCACTTTTTACCCAAACTTCATCAATAACCCTAACGTACCCTATCCCATCCTTCCCGTCCCCTGGGACTCACTCCCTCCCAGCTCTCAGCTAGCAGAGGCCACCACGTGGCTTGACTGCACATGTAGACCTCGGCGTACACACACACCCCTCAGCATACACACACACACACTCCTCGGCACACACACTCACCCCTCAGAAAGGGGAGGAGCCCCCGTCTAGCTCTGAGACAGCCGGGAGGGCAGGTAGACCAAGGGTTTCCTTTGTAGTGCCCACCTTGTTGGGCTCTGCTCCCTCCAATGCCTTCCTCAGTACTGACTCTCCCCACCCAGGGATTCCCCCCACCCTCTTCCTTGGAGCTGAGCCAGGGCTGTTTGTAGATTAGAACAATGAATAAGGGAGCTCCCAGGGCTTCCTTTCCTCCATGTCCTGGGGGCTCTGCTCACAACAGAACCCAATGGACACAGACCAACACCATGACAGGACACAGTCCTCACGGGGGTCGGAGTCTGAAGGGGCAGAGATACACACTCAAACTACCTCAAACTACCTCAAAGAATTAAACACAGAAGGCCTGTTCCAGGAAGGAGCTGATACCATAAGATAGTTGTAGTATAATGTAAAATAGGTGTGCTAGAAAGGCACCAACAAATGCATTTTGGGCCTAGCAAAACCTGTTTAACAAACATTTGCATTTCCATCTCCACGTAAAGTGCCTTGCTCCCCTCCGAAATCCCAAACCACTACCCACAAGACCCTCCTTGTCTTTATTTAAATAATTTTATTTATTTATTTTTCCCCCAAAGCCCCAGTACATAGCTGTACGTCATAGCTGCACATCCTTCTAGTCACTGTATGTGGGACGCGGCCTCAGCATGGCCGGAGAAGCGGTGCGTCGGTGCGCGCCCGGGATCCGAACCTGGGCCGCCAGCAGCAGAGGGTGCGCACTTAACTGCTAAGCCACAGGGCCGGCCCAAGACCCTCCTTGTCTTTAGCTGAAGCACTTAAGCGAGCAGCTTCAGCCAGAGAGCCGAGTTGCTCGGTTTTTCCTGAGCTTCTCCTGTGTATACATGTTATTAAACTTTGTTTGATTTTCTCCTGCTAACCTGCCTTTGAAATTATTTGACCAGCCATAAGAACCTTAAGGAAAAGGGGGGAGGAACTCTCCCCTTTCCCCCAAAATATACATGGGAGAAAACCAGGAAAACTCACCAAAATGGCCAAAGTCCTCACCTTAAATACCATCCTCAGCTACAGACAAAAGAAGATGCTGGGGTGGTAAGTCAGGTGCTCAAAGGGAAAGAAGGCAATTCACAGGGAGGTGAAAAGGAGCAAAGTTTGGAAAACAGGTGTTTGTGTGGCCACACAGAAACAGAAGAACACAGAGGGGAGCCCAAGCAGGCTTCCCTAGGTTCCTCCCTGTCTACCGCCTAGCTCATGTTATGCTAGAGACACATTTTGGGGTGGCTAATTTTGCTCCCCTTCAGTACACTCTACGATGTTCACATCATGACAAAATCACCTAATGATGCATTTCTCAGAATGTATCCCTGTTGTTAAGCCACACACGACTATAGTTGCCTTGGTCTGCAACCTCATTTCTCATCATCTGAAGCCCCCTTGCAGTCCCCTCCTCCCCCTAGGCTGAATTGCTCACATTTCCCTGAATATTCCAGGACTATCTCACCTCCTGGATGCTCCACATGTGGCATCTCTGCAAGAAATGGCCTTTTACCCCCAGCCCCTTCTCTAAGAAAAGTTCCACTCATTCTCCAGAACTCAGCGCTGGCACGACCTCCTTTGGGAAAACTTCCTGAACTGCCCTGCCCTTGGGCTGGGTGAGGTGGCCCCTCCTCACCCTGCATTGCCACCTAACCACCCTGCCTTGTCTGGGCCTCCATCCTTAAGGGCTGGGCTGGGTCTGCAGCCCTACCCCAGCACAGGGCCCGGCCCAGAGCAGGTGTCAGTGAGTGTGTGTGCTTGGTGAATGAATGCAGGACCCAGCTGGGCTGTGGGTTAAAGTGGGAGCCCAGGGAGGGGCTGGGGCTCTGCCAGGCTCCTGGGGCTGATCTCTTACCTGCCAGAGCTGTCTGGAGCCTTATCTGATTAGGCCTGTGTTGACAAGCAAGCAGATGGGACATTGACAAAGGCTCCTGGGTTACTCAGTAACCCGCCCTCTTTAAAAGCCCCACTGCTCCCCCGGCATCCAGAACTAGCCACTCCTTTCTTGGGCACTGCTGCCATGAACACCTTCCTGCTCTCTGCACTGTGTCTCCTCTGGGCCTGGGCCGCCCTGGCAGGGGGAGTCACTGTGCAGGTAAGTCCTCTGTCCCTATCCAGGCCAGCCAGCTCTCTGCCCCCAGTGCACAGGGCCTGTCCCCTGAGAGAGCACTCCCTCTCTGGGGCTGGAGTGGGGGTATGTCTAAGGATTGGCTCTTCCTCAGGGACCCCCTTCTCACTCCTGCCTCTGACCCCTTCCCCTTCAGACACCAGGTAGAGAGAAGAGAAATAACCATTTGGGAAAGGCAGGTCATTAGCCAATTTACTGAGTGCTTGCCACAGGCCAGGCTCCTCTAGTAGCTCACTGTGGCCCCATGAGCACCCTGGGAAGAAGGGATTATTAGTCCCGCTTTTCAGAGGAGGAAAACGGAGGCTCAGAGAGGTTCTGTAACTAGCCATGGGCATATGGCTGAGAAGTGAAGGAGCTAGATTCAATTCCAGACTTACTCCTCAGTCCTGTACTCAGCCAGGGCACCGGCGTGACATCCCAGAGGTCCTGACGGAAGGGTGTGCCCAGCGGCGTGGATGCTAGCGGCAGGCCAGTCTGGCACCAGCAGGGGCCCCGCTCTCTATCACAACAGGCCCCAGGAGGGCGTTTTATTCCTCCTCAAATGTCAGCCAGGCAGTGATCAGCTGGCACGGCTCTCAGGCAGGGGTGAAGACAGCACAATGGCTCCCACTAATAGGTGCCTATGGTGTCCCTGACACTTCACATCCATTTCTCCATTCCTCAGCTAACACGCAGACTCCAAGGCCCCCGGAGTGTAATGACCTGTCCATGGTCACAGGATTCAAGCCCAGTGTCCAGCTGTGAGGCTTGAGCTCTAACCAGCTTGTATTGCCCCGCAGCGAAGCGTCTGGTTCCCATATGCCACAAACACTGCTTGAGCGCCATTGCACGGGGGTGGAGAGGGGCCGGCCCTGGGGAAAGGGCCGGGGAGCGGGCTGCAGGCTGTGTCTCCTCAGGAGGGAGAGTCCTCCTTTTCTTTGGAGTCAGTGAAGAAGCTCAAGGACCTGCGGGAGCTCCAGGCGCCCAGCATCAGGAACCGCCGGAAGGCTGATGGATGCCTGGCTCCCATCCTCTGTAGGTACCCCAACTCTCCCGAAGAACTCAAGCCTATCTGCCAGCAGCCCGGCGCCCAGCAGATCCTCCAGAGGCCGGGTGAGAGCCTCCTCTCTGATTGGCGGGGCTTGGGACTTCCCTGATTGGTGCGCTTGAGGGAGACGTGTGCTCTGAATGGTGGGGTTTGGAGCGGGGGCTCTGCTCTGATTGGTGGGTCTGTAAGCCCTCTCTAATGAGTGTTCTAAATTGTAATTGGCCGGGCTAACTTTAGGAACATCCTCACTCTGACTGATGCGTTGGTAGCACTGCGTTCGGTTCGTCTGGCCTTAGCTGTAGCTCCTTTCTGGGTAGAATCTCCGCTCTGATTGGCTGGTATCGAAAGCCCAGCCGGTCAGCGAGGACAGCCCTGGGTTTCTCCTGGGATCTGAGTGGCGGATGTCCAAGCTCTGACTCAAGGGAGACGGCGAGCTTTGGTTGGCTCTCACGGAGCCCCCTCTCCTGTCCAGAGACCATCGCCCAGGACCCGAGCATGTGTGAAATCTGTGCCTACGCTGCCTGCGCCGGATGCTGGGACCGCTGGTGCTCGCTGCCTTCTGCCCCTCCCCTGCAGGATGCTCCCTCTTCCCGCAGCTCAACCTACCTGCCCCCGAACCAGGAGCGAGCAGCCTGGGGAGGCCCAGCCCCTGACCCCATCCGAGCTGCTAGGTGCTTCCCAAGAGCCACTCCAACCCTCACCTAATAAACCAGATTCCAGAGTGCTCCTGGTGTGGCCTTCGTTCCTTCCTGCATCCGTCGGTCCACTCATCATCCAGCTTCATCGATGCCTACCCTGCCCTGGCCAGCTGAGGGGTCAGTGTGCTAAGTGCAAGGACTCCAGTGTCCCTGCTAAGCTCCTGGGGCTGCCACCACACGCAGGCACCGAGGGGCCTGAATCTCTGGACCACCAATGGGGGAGGTGGAACCTCTGCTTTTCTTTCGTATCTCCTGGGGTCACCAAAGTCACCAAGCCACATGTGAGCACACGAGTCTCTGCTGGCTTAGATGTCCGACACAGACACTTGACCAGTTATGAGATCCTCCCAGAGCTCCAGAGTCTTCACCGTGCCTCAGGCTGTGGCCCCCACGGACCGCTGTAGTGTTGCCTCCTGCCCGCCCCCAGGCCCACTCCCTGAGCACGGCTCTTACGTTTCCTCTGCACTGCTCCTCTTCTCACACTCCTGGCTGGCGAAACTCCTGCTCAGGCGCCAAGGCTTCACTCCCAGGGCCCCTCCTCGGAAGACTTCCGCCCCCCGGGAGGAGTCTTCGTGACCCCTCTGCCTGGTGCTCCCAGGCACTTTATAACCCACGCCCCTTGCCCAGCTCTGGCCCTCTGTGGGAGAATGGCTTCTGTGCCTGGGGAAGGCTCTCTGAGCCCAAGAGAGGGAGGCCCCACAGGGATGACTGCATGAGAACGTAACGCAGGACAGGGAGAGCGAGAGCCACACTGTTTCAGCCCTGCATGCCAGCCCCAGGTCTTCCACATACTGTGTGAGGTTAGCAAAGTCACATTCCCTCTCTGTGTCTCAGTCTCCTCCTCTGTAAAACTAGGAGAGTAACAGTACCTGCCTTCCAGGCTGGGCGAAATAATGCATAAATGTGTGTAATGCGTGTAAAGTTCAGACCATATACAAACATGAGCAAATTCAATAAACAGTAGAAACAAACCAAAGAAAGGGGAACCAGGGTCCAGCTGAGAGTGATTCAGACAGGAGGGAGGTGTGGAGGGAGGCCTGTCGGCACAGGCAGAGGAGTGAGGAGAAGGAGGCAACCACCGTCCTTCTTGGAGTGGAGGGTGGAGGGGACACTTCCCACAGGCTGGTTCAGGGGGGATTCCCTGGGCTGTGCTGTGCGATGCAGAGGGTGAGGTGTCTTCAGGGTCAAGGTCAGGGAAGGCTTTGTGAAGGGGGAGGGGAGGCGGGCATATGATTACCCCTTGGGATGGATGGAATTTTGAAACCAGCGTGGAGGTGGGGAGGCAGAGGGGATTCCAGAGGGTGGGGTTGGGGGCATGTCCAGGGCACTGGACTGGTTTAGCCTGGACTGGTTGGAGCCTGGGAGGCACATAGCATTGGGTTTGAGCCTGATTGTGTCATTGACAAGCTGTGTCCTCCTCTCTGAGACTCGGCTTCCTCATCTGAAAATAGGATGATAACAGATCCTGCCTCCTGGGGTTGCGGGGGTTTGATGAGACGTGTGGTGGGGTAGAATCATTTAATGCTTCCTCTCTGAATGGGCATCCTGGCTCTGCCTGTTACCAGCTGTATGACTTGGGGCAGGTTACTTAGCCTGTTGTCTCCTCAGTTTCTTCATCTGCACAATGGGGATGACAAGAATCCCTACTTCATAGGGTTAAGTGAAGATTAAATGAGGTAGTACAGAAAAAGCTCTTAGAGCTCCACCAGGCCCTGGTGAGCGCTTTGCTGATACTGCTAGAATGATTATTTCTGTGTAGATGGCTCAGCCCGTGCCTGATACAGAGTCAGTGCTCGGTCGGTGACAATTCCCTTCACTGCCTCCTCCCCAGGTGAGTGGGAACCCAGCACAGCTGAAGGCAGTGTAGGAGATGAAGCCAGATGGCACATGGGCTCAGTATAGACTTGAGAGGTGGCACTGGGGAGCCACAGAAGGGTAGGGAGCACCATCAGAGCAGCACTGCAATGTTTCCCTGGCATGGTGGGTGTGGAAAGCCTGCAGGATGCAGGGCAGGAAGGGACCCCTGGCCTGGCTGGGGTAGTGTGATTAGGGCCCACCTTGAGTGATGATAGATGATTGAGACCCAGGAGGCGTTGCAAAGGCCCCCAGCCAGTCTTGGCTGTGGGGTGAGGGAAAGGAAGGAGCTGGAGGTCTGGGGTTTCTGGCCTGGCAGATTAGGAGACCTCAGGACTCGTGAACAGAACTGGGCCAGCCAGGAGGGGCAGCTGGTCTTGGGGAATTCACCTTGGCCTTGGCCCTGGGTGAGCTGAGTTCAGAGGGTACGGCCCCTTTGTACCTGGCTTTCCTCCTCTCTGACTGCCCAGGACAGACGCTGGGGAGGAGCCAACTTGCAGAAAGGCCCTTCTTGGGGAATTCTCAGCACGGCCCCTGCTTGAGTGAAGGCACTGAGGCCGCTGTGAGAATGTGGTGGCTGCTGGGGCCCTGCGTTAGGTCATCAGCCACAGCCTGGCGTCATGGGGAGGCAGTAACAGGGCGATTCAGTGCGTGACTCTGGCCCAGACTTCCTGGGAAGACGCCTGCTTTGCCATTTTGCTGAGCCTATGATCCTGGACTACTTGGTTATCTGTGTCCTGGGTCTCCTTATTCGTAAAGTGGAGATGGTGCTAATAGCAGTACCTGCTTCATTAGCCTGCAAGAGGACTCCGTGAGTTACTACGTGCAGAGGATTTAGAGTAGTGCCGAGGGTATAGCGAACGCTCCATAAACCTGGGCTGTTATTAGTACTCCTCAGGGCCACCAGGATGGAGAGAGGGAGGAGAGGTCTCCCATCTGGAGCAGGCCAGATGGTCCCAGGCAGCTGGGAAAGTGTGGGAGGAAGCTGGGGAGGGTAAGGGAGAGGCAGATGGCCCATCTTCTCAGGCGGCCCTGGGGCAGAGTCAGCGCTAACCATGGGCCTGAGGAGGGGGCATGGTGATTCTCCCCTCCACCCACTCCTGCAGTGCCCCTCCTGGAGGGGGTCCCTCGTGGGTCAGGAGCGTGGAAGCTGGGCCAGGCCTTGAGCTCTGCTTTGGGGTTGATGGGTCTGGGTGCTCTGTGACCTTGGTGACTCATTCCCGCCCCGAGCCTCGCTCCCTCCTAGACGAAACAGGGCTTCCAGAACCACCTCCTCAGGTGCTGGAAACCAGGGAAATTGCTGACTCACGAGTCCAACCTTTCTCCTCTATCCACCCGGCTTCCCAAGAAGCTCGGCCCCTGGCTCCTGGGGATGAACACATGGACACCTCTGTGTGGGTAGAGAAGCTTTATTCAGTAGCAGGGCTGCCTCAGGGGTCAAACTCTCCTCCAACATGAGTCCAATTGCTTTGTGCGAGATCCAGCTGCTCAGGCCCTGGGAGGGTGGCAGTGACCCGGTGGCCAGGGGCCCCCCAGGGCTTGGATGGGATGGGGCCTGTGAAGGCAGTGGGCTGGGGGGGCAAGGTGTCCAGGGTGTGCCCAGGGATCATCTCAGAGGCAGCCGGTACAGGCGACATTCACACACAGCTCACAGTCGTCGTTAGCAATGGTCCCTGGGCAGGGGAGAAAACCGGTCAGCTGAACCTGAACCTGAAATATCTGTGGTCCAGGAAGCTGCTGCCCAGGGGCCCCGAGAAGGCCTGCTCAGGAGAGGGCCTGAGAGAGGGGCCGGCATCTTACAGATCAGGAGCATGAAACTTTAGAAGCAGAGTGAGCGGCTTGGGCACCAGTCCCAGGTCCTCTCCTTCCTGGCGGTGCCTGGGCGAGTCACTTACACTCTTCGCCTGAGTGTTCCTGTCTGCTAAACGGACGGCATCAGCCTGACAGGGTCGTTGTGAGGAGAGGAGGCAGGCAGAGGGGCTGACACAGGGCCTGGCACTTAGCATGTGCTCAATAAATGCTAGCTAGTCACCACGTTCTCGTGGTCAGCTCTGCTTCAGCCCTCACATTTCAGCTTAGATGTCACCTCCTCTTGGAAGCCTTTCAGATCCACCCCAGATGTCAGCCATCTCTCCTGTGTGCCCGCTGTGCCTCCCCCATCACCCCACTGCATTGCTGTTGTTTTTCTGGGTCCCTCCTGGCTCTGGGGCATCTTGGAGAGAGGATGACCAAGCAGCTGCACTGTTGGAGACCGAGGGGTTCCTGGCAGCCTGACTTTCAGCGCCCAAACCCAGAGGCAGGGGGCAGAGTTTCTTGAATCTCCCTGTCCTCAGCCGCTGGGTGCTTAGTAGAAACAACACGAGGGGGAGAAGCTGGGATGTGGGGAGGAGGGAGAACCAGAGGCTGGGGTGGGGCACTCACTCAAGGCCTCAAAGATGCTGGCAGCTTCCTCAGAGGTGCAGACAGGCTGCAGGTCCCTTGGCAGGGCCGGGTGGAGGCACAAGGAGGGCAGGGGGCTCTGGGCCCTCAGGCGGGGGCTGGGCACCCGCTGCCCATCCAGGTCACTCAGCTTCTTCACAGATTCCAGCTGGACCTGGAAGCCTTGGTACTGGGGGGAGGAGGAAAAGGAGAGGGGAGGGTATCAAAACCCGGGCCGGGAGACCGGGTTCCTCAGACCCCACAGAGCCTTCCCTGTTCTCATGGCAAGTCCAGGCCACACTTTAAAGACAGCCTGGGAGGTGGGAGGTGGTGTCTGATGCTGGGCTCTCCTGTGCCACAGGCCCCCAGTGACTGGTAGGTGAGGTCACAGCAAGGCTGTGCATACAATGGTCCAAGGTGGGCTCTGGAGATCAGCGGACCCCCGGTTCAAATCCCAGCTCTTCCCGACTGGCTGCCTGTCTCTTCCCCATTCTGAGCCTCAGCCGACAAAAGGAGACAATCATGCTCCACTCCTCTGTGGGGGCCTGGTACCCAGGGCACACTCGATAACTGGGTCATCTCCCCTGAACCCATATGGCAAAATGATGGCAACCGCAAGCCGCTGGGCTCCACGGCCAGGGCTGCAGGGGCAGCTGCCTCTCCCTCCGCTCCCCAAGACCCACTCTGTTCCTTCCCAAGGGGGCCCTGCCCAGAGTCAGGAGTGTGACACCCAGG